GTCTCCCCTAGGGCATGGCCGTCACTGTCGGGGCGGCGCCTCCGCCTGGGGACCTGCAGGAGAGAGAAGGGTCAAGGGATTCCGGGGGGCTGCAGGAGGTGGCTGGAGGGGCCCAGAGGGAAGGGGCACGGCCCCTGCTTTGGCGGCCGGCACACTGAGCCATGAGGTCCCTGGCATGGACCCTGCTCAGGTCCCTGGCGAGGACTCTGGCGATGTCCCCAGCCAGGTCCGTAATGATGAACCCCAGTGACGTCCTTGGTGATGACTGCAGCAAGGAGCCAAGTGATGGCCCCAGCCAGGTCCCCAGCGAAGACCCCAGTGAGGTCCCCAGCAAGGACCCTGGCAAGGTCCCCAGTGAGGACCCCGGCGAGGTCCCTGTTGACGGCCCCAGCAGGATCCCCAGGGAAGACCCCGGCGAGGTCCCCAGTGAGGACTGCAGCCCAGTGCCCAGCCACTGGCACCCTGTCCCAGCCTGGCACTGCAGCAGGCACCAGCCTGGCCTGGGGCACCTCTGCCAGCGCACTGGAGGCAACAATGTCTACATGTCATCCAGATAATGTCATCCACATGAGGTCATCTGGATGACATCATCTGCAGGCCTCCAAGACCATCCCTGGTGCTGTGGCGGGGGGACCCGGCTGCACCCCGACAACTCCGGCGAGGGTTAAAGCCCGGATCCGGCGCCAGCAAGGCAGGAACGGCTCCGGAAGAAGAGCCAGAGCTGCGGAACCTGCGTGGCGGCAGGATGCGTGCAGATGCGTGCCGAGGCGGCCGGATGCCCTCTCCAGTGATGCGGCAACAAAGGGCCGGCACTGACCACCTACGTCCCGGCAAGGACCTCACATCCCGGCTCGGCCAGGCGAGTAAACCGCCCCAGGAAACCTTAATGGGAGGCTGCTGCGCGCCCTAATGGGATAAGTACAGAGTCCGGCCGCGGCCAGCCCGCAGCCTCCCGGCAGGTTTTCGGGACGGTGCAGCCCGGACCCGCCGCCAAATCCAGCCAGGCTGTGAGAGCCGGTGCCAGAGCAGCGGGAACATCGGCCGATGGCGATTATGTGCTTTGCACAGGGCTAAAAATTAATTTCTCTGATTATATTTGCTGAAAACGGTGAAGTTTTGGTAAAACTCAGAGGCGAGCCCTGGCCTGCGCTCTCCTGCTGCCTGCATGGGCTGCTGCCCCGGGGAGGAAATCCGGGTCCTGGCAGGATCCGGCACCGGCAGAGCCCCAGCTGCTGTGCAGCGCCCACGGGAGCACCGGCACCCGTGCAATGCCCACGGGAGCGTGGGCACCCGTGCAGAGCCCATGGGAGCAGGCATGGGGCACGGGCACCCGTGCAACACCTGCGGGAGTGCAGGCACCCACGCGATGCCCATGGGAGCACCAGCATCCCTGCAGTGCCCCCAGGAGCACTGGCACCCGTGCAGCGCCCGCGGGAGCACACGTGGAGCATCGGCACCCACGCAGCACCCACGGGGAACATGCATGGAGCCCAGGCACCCACGCAGCACCCACGGCGAGCACGCATGGATCGCGGACACCCCTGAAACACCCACGGGGAGCACACGTGGAGCACCGGCACCCGTGCAACACCCACGGCGTGCGTGCCTGGATCACGGGCACGCCCTGGAACACCCACGGAGAGCACGCGTGGAGCACCGGCCCCCGCGCAGCGCCCGCGGGAGCGCGCATGGATCGCGGCACCCCACGAGCGTCGCGGG